AATTTGAACTTTAGATCTGTTACTTAGAAGTTGACAATATAATTACTTTACTAAGTTATTATACTCCTAATTACTTAAATTTCTTTTTTTTTAATATTAAAATGACCTTTTTGGTCTTTTGACTTTTATTAACAACTTATTAGTAATGTGATTTAATAAGCTATTACAGAAGAAAATACAATTGCTATATATGTAACTTTTTTATATTATTTATTTAAGGAATCTATCTAAAGGTTTTCTACTAATTGTTATATCTAATATTTTTGCTTGAATGTTCTACTTTAAATACTCTAAATCTGTAATTTGTGTTAACTTACTAGGTTATATCCAAATGTTTAGATCATTATTTCAACCTTAAGACTAATTTATCTTCAAGGTAAACTTCTTAGAAACTTCTATATACATTTTTATAGCTAACCAAGATATCACTATAGCAGAACTAATATTTATAGTTAAAGTTATATTATTTAATTGCTATGCTCTTGTAGAGTTTACACAGATTCCAACATCTACTTTATAGTATAACTTTAGTACTTTAGTATACACTTGCCTTTTCATTTGCCTTTTTATCAAACTTTCAATTCAGATAGCCTATATAAAACTACAATCAGTCTATTGGTATATCAGATTAGTCTAATATTCTTTCTTTTGATTTGTTCTGACAACCTGGTTGGTGGTATCTTCAAGACTCCTAATCTAGAAGTTTTTGCCTATTTGGCTACTATGACTAAGTATTATGACTTTAGTATCTGTTTCTCTGAACTAATCTTTATAGTAAAGTTGTTGAAGATCTAACTATCTCTTTATTTAGATCTTTCCAAATAGACTTCTTGTTATTCAATTTAAATGAATTTATATAATTACAAGAACTTATTTAGTATTTGTATTATCTGATTTGTCAGTTTGCATTTCTTTATATAACAAGTTATACAGATGCTCTATAACTTGCCAGTTATGCTAGTATAATCATCATTACAGATATCTTAACTTAATTATTAGTAACAGTTGTTATAATATAAATATTATATAGATGATTATCCAAATTTTCATTATTAATAGAATTTGAACACCCAACCTATCACTTGAAAGGTTAACAACCTAATCACTTCACTAGATCATTACACCCTTATTAATTTTTTTTTAAAAAAAATTAAGATGTGATTACTTAAATTCTTATTACTCCTACTAAGTAAAAAGATATACAAAAAATATTTTTTGCTAATTCTAAGTTTCTATACTTCAACTTAAACTTTACTATTTTATTCTTAACTTGTAAATATAATATTCATCTTTTAGAATAATTTCTATAAATAAGTTTGTTACTATGTGTTTGTTAATAAAGTTTAATCTATATATTGTTACTATTTGTTTGCTATTATATAGTAAAATGAACTGCTACACCTTTATCTTATATATATTTGCAATAGTTTTTTTTTTTTTTTTTTTTTTTAAATGCCAAAATAGAAACTTTTTTTAGTAATGGAAGAATTACATTAAAGATTTCTAAACTACATTTGTGCTACTTGTTTTAAGACACCCAATGTGACATTACATTTCCATTTCTATATAACACTATTATTAATTATTTAAAATTAATTTTAGGTATAGAAAGGTTGGAGAAAACCTAAAGTGATAGTCTTGGCATTTAGTAAATACAGTTAGTAAGTGAATAGCCTATATATTTGCAATAGTTAATTACTGTATCAAGTAATCTTGTTACTTAGTTGTATTGTACCAAAAAGACTAAAATTCTGTAACAATAGTTAAAAATTAATATTTATAGACCAAAAATTGATATATGAATAATATATATATATTTTTTACTATTTACTTTATTCAAAAAAGTTAATACAATTTATAAATAATATACTATATTTGTATAAAATTATATATTTTTATATATAATTTATTAGAAATTATAAATATATAAAAATCTTTGTTAGATGTCAAATAATTAAAATTTATTTGCTATTAAAATTTATTACAAAACAGGTTTTTATAAAAATAATCTTTTAAACTAACTTTAAATCTATAATTAAAACTACTTAAATTAGATAATGATTAAAGTTGTATGAATGGCTAGTTGTACATTCTTTTTATAGTTGCCTTCTGTAGTTGTAATGCAACCATTAGTCAAATATACTATCAATAAAATCCTGGGTCACAAGTACTTACCTTAATATTTAAAAAAAAACTATAATTAAATATAATAGAATATTATAATATTTACATATTTAATTATTAGCTAAAAGTAAGTTTGAAAAGTTAGAAAGAACATTTTTCCAAAATTGTTTTTGAATTCACTCTTATCTATTAATCAACAAATTAGCTAAAAATATCCAACCACTTTAACAGCTAATAATAGTGCTTTATTTTATAGCTTAGTGTAATTGTTTTTTAATATTTATTGCTTATTTATCTTATATGGAGGCTAAAAAACCTTTTTATTGAAATTCTTCACGTCAATTAATAGCAAAAGATTTTGTGTAACAGTTTATCGAAAAAGAAGCAATTCAGTGGATATGATATGACCGTGTGAAATTTTGTGCATGGCACAAGTCATATGAAGTTTCAGATAAATAAATTTATGGACAATCAATTTTCTTTTACGTGGGGGAGGAACGGTGAATACTTCCATTAATGTTAAGAATAAAATATAATAAAATTAAATTATATACCAATCAAATCTCAAGTTATTTCAAACATTGAATTTTGGTTAGCTAAAAAAAATTATTTTGCACATGTCGAAATAAAATGGATTTTATTTTAGAAGTATTCACAGTCCCTGATAGATTATTGTTGTTTGCAAAATTTTGTAAATTTTGCAGATCAAAAAAGAAAGGAATCGATTATGATTAGTGATTTCCGATTTCCGATTTTATGTATATCTTTTTAGACTTTTTGGATTAGATTTTGATATTATGTAAAACTTCTACGTATAAAAAAATATAATTGATAACTTATTAGTATATTTATCGAATTTTATAGATTTGTTTTTTCAAAATGCCTTCTGCTTTAGTATTTTTATTATCTTTGAAAATAGATAATTTCATTATCATTTATTTCAAATAATACATAATTAACATTAAAAATATGTATTAGATTTATGCGGATATATCAAATGTATTTACTGCAAACAAAAATTTGTACATTCAGATTCAATATTATTAGATTTAGATATATCTAATGTATCTTATGTAGAAATTGAATTTGTGTTAATATTATTAGACATACCTTAGCAATAATAGATTTAGTATGATGAATTGTTTCTTTTTTAATCCAATAAAATTTGCCATAAAGAGCAAAAAAAAAATTTGGATCGGATTTTATTTCATAATTAATTTGTATGATACTAAAGAATTATGAAATTTAACCGGAAAAACATAAGGTAACTTCTTTAATATGGTCTTTGTTGTTAAAGAATATATTTGTCACAATTACAAGAACTTTTGAAAGTTAAGATTGAACAAAGACATTTTGAGCACTCAAAGCATGTTCCGGTATAATAATTAAAAATATGATATATATAATGCATATTCGCTAGATTTTTAATGTTAAAAATATAAATCACTAACCTTTTTTTGATGATTTGCAAACCGCAATCAAATTACCGTTACGTAACACTAATCGATTAATAACAAGAGAAACCGTCGATGTTACACGACTGATCCTTCACCTGGTGTGCAACATATAAAAAAAATTAATTTACAATACCAGATCATTCCGCTAGTATGTTATAATTAGGGTTTATTAATTTTCCTCATAGTTCCTATTGGACGAAAAAAAATCCTGCTTTTCGATCAAATAATGGAAATGTCGTTGAAGCAGTATAAAGGTCTAATAGAACAAAATTTGTTCTATTAGACCTTTATACTGCTTCAACGACATTTACAATTCTCCAATTAGAACCGTGGGAGAAATTAGGGATCCCTTATGATTATAATCCCACACCATTTCTTATTATAATAAAAATGGTAATTTTTTTATATGTTGCACACCGGGTGAAGGATCGGTCGTGTAACATCGACGGCTCCTGTTTCGATTAATTCGATTTTCGATTTGTATCACTAACTACATAGTTTTGGATAAGATCTACAAGATTACTCTTAATCAATTTTAATTCTAATCATCATTCGTTCACTAAGGGGGGTAGCAATTCTAATTTGTTCGTAGATGAAGACTAGCCTAAAATATTAGTTTAACATTTAACTTGGTATTTAATTTACATGGCATTAATTTTTTAAGCTTTTGTTAAATAATCTAAGTCATTCTGGTACTTGACACTCTACTAATAAAGTTATAGTCCTATTAACAATCATACATATATAAAATTTTTATCGCGTTGTTGCGAAATAACTTGTCATTTTCAAATAAAATAACCCTAAAATTTTGACATCTGTTTGATATGACGCATAAAGATAATTAATTGAATGTGGTTGATTAAATTCTTTATGATTAATATTTTAATAATGCAGGACTTTTTAAATGCTTATTATAATTTACTAACAGATAACTTTTGTCAAGAACCACTAAGCTATGTACGTACGTTATTTCATCTTTCACACTCAAAATCAAGTTCTTAAAAGATTTCATTAATAATCTTTACGTAAACAAATGCTACATATCATTATATATTTAGAAAATTTTATTGATTCGGGTTATTTTTTTTGGATTGGATTTATCCGGGTATAAGTTTTTGAATGTACGTATCATGGACAATTAGTGTTACACGAGGTCGATTTAGCAGATAGAAACAGCAGGTTAACAGGTAAACTATCGGATTATCCGAATCGAATCGGAGATGCACTCTAATCCTAGACAAATGCTGTAAATCTTTTTATCAGTTGAAAATCGAATTCGATATTTTTAATAGTAAAACTGATTGGTTTATTTAGTTGCGAACAAGTATAAAACTCTAGTTTGATCACTTAATGTAATTTTATATTCTTCCCACACTTAACATTAATTCTATATTCTTTGAATTTATTTTTCAGTTCAAAATGTCAATAAATACAGTTTATCAATTATTTAATATCATTAAAAGTAATTTTTTCTCAATCGTATTTTTATCTATCTTTATTATTGTAATCCAATATTACATAAATTATTTCAATCGACCGTCAAGGCTTCCTGGTCCATTTCCTTTACCAATTATTGGAAATATACATCAAATTGGATCAGATCTTGCAGCAGCGACAGATGAATTTAATAAAAAATATGGTGATTTGTACGAATTTTATATGGGAAGTTCGCCCATAGTTGTTATTAGCAAACCTAATTTGGTTGAAAAAGTGTGGGGATCTTCGTCTCTCAAAACCACAAAATTTATTATGCGTAATTCATATTCTGAAGGTATTGATGAACTTGGCTTAGGTACAAAAGGAATGGTACTCAATCGAAATATTGAAGTTTGGGCTATCAATAGGAAATTTATGAACGTTATTTCTTCACCTCCATTTCTACGTGAATCAATCAATTTATCAAGTAAAACGATTGATAAATTGTTTGAATATTGGAAAATCATTGAAAAAGAAGGAGCGCAAATCGACATTTCCCGGTGGATAGATGCTTTGGGTGCAGATATTGTTGCGACAACTGCAACTGGAAAAGGAATAGCAGCAACAACTAAATTGTTTGATGAATTAAATATTGAAAATAAAAAATCCAAAATACAAGGAATTTGGCAAAATGGCGTAAAATTTACTAAAGCAATTCATAAGTATAACGAATCAATGGCATTTATGATGTTACTTCCAAAAAATTTTCGAAAAAATTTCCCTCTTATTAAAGATTTAAATAAAAATTATTTGGATAATAAAGATTGGATATATCAAGAATTGGATAGAATCGTTTCCGAAAAACAAAAAGAAATTGAAAACACACCTTTGGATCAGCCACTTGAGCCGAATATTTTAACTTTATTACTTACAACAAATACAGAAAGAGATTTGGACAAAATTTCTGTCAGTAAATTTGACAGACCTTTAACAAATGACGAAGTAATATCGATATTACGTGAAGTATTTACTGGTGGATTAGATACTACCTCAAACAGTGTATCATTTCTGATGTTTTATCTTGCTAAACATCGTGAAGTTTATTTGAAAATGAGACAAGAAGTATTAGATGTTTATGGCACACTTGACAATCCAGTACTTACATTGGAATCGTATGGAAAACTCAAGTATACAGAAGCAGTAATCAATGAAGGCATTCGCATTTTCCCTTCAGTATCATCGATACCTCGTGCCGCAACCGAAGATGTTGAATTTGATGGATATACAATTAAAGCAGATACAACAGTTTATACAGATTTTAATGCATTAAATCATAATCCTAAATACTTTAAAGATCCTGAAATTTTTAATCCTGATAGATTCTTAACTGATAAAGAATCATTTACTAAATACTCTTATATTCCTTTTGGAAATGGTGTACGCGTGTGTCCTGGTCGAGCTTGGGCTATGGCTCAAATGAAAACTTTTCTTATTAAACTTGTTTGTACATTTGATATAGATTCGAATGATAAAAATGATACTCCTAAATATGTTTATCGTACCGTAAGAAGTCCTGTAGATATAAACATTTTTATTAAGACCAGAAAAAATCAATAGTTAATTGATAGTTAATAGTCAAATTTTATTATTAATCATTATTATCATTATCATTATTATTATTATGATTTTATTATCATTATTATCATTATGATTATTATCATCATTAGTGTTAGGCAAAATAAAATTATTAACAATTGGTTCTCATAACCCAGCCAGGTATAAAATATGGATTGTAAAATTTAAGTTGTCATTAAATAAAATTTAAATCTATACAGTTAACCCTCCATAAACACATCCTCTATAAATGTACGCACTATGCATACCCACTTAAAATACATACTAATCTTAAGTTTCAAGCACATAGAAAATTTAATAAAATGCCCTCCATAAGGCATACCTTTTCTAAATACGCATTCTCGAAAATTTTGCCTATAGTCCCAAGTAGGATGCATTTACGGAAGGTTGACTCTATGTGCGTCAAATTAAAATCTCCGTCAGATATCATTATAATTCCGCTAATACCTAACATAGACCCACATTTGGATTTGATCTGATGCACGACACGTAATACATCAGGGACAGTACAACAGGGACGGATGTATTCAACGTCCCTGCAATACAGTAATAAAAATAATCTCGATAATATCGCGAAAGGGAAATTTTCACGGAAAACATCAAGCACAACGCGAGTAGGTAGGAATACATTGTGCAGCTAATATAATAGATTGTGTTCGGAACCTATCATAAAATGATTATGTAATTGTTATATAATTATAACAACATGTGGTTGTCGCTCAATTCTCCGAAAGTTATTTACTCGACAGGCCACATCGCATAGTGTTAGGGCTAGCTCTGATTAGTTTCAGGTATATTTTTAGCAATTTGTCACCCTACGTGATGCCGGGTAAGTGGCCTGTCGGGTAAATCACTTTCGGGAATCGTCCATAATAACCAAACGTGTTACCGAGTTTCTGTTACACTAAAGTACACACGTACAGATTCAAAATGCGTGTTTTGATGTTGTCAGAGGTAAAACTGACACCCCATATAACCTGCAAAATGGACGTCATTGTGGCATACTTACCTAATTGGAGGTGCCCATGATGATCCATCTGAAACATGTGCGCCCGGCCCCAAAGAAGCCATATGAAAGTACACAAGCCTCCATGCGGGACCCCACCACCCCCTCCAATTAAAGTAAGGTCGACCTGGACCTACCTTACTTGGGTTAGGTGTGAGGCGATGTCAAAGGGGGTGCGATTGAAGACAATATGATGGGTTCTGGCCCCGGGATAGTAAAACTGAAACATTTCTCATCGGTTCTATGAAAGCCGTGAGAAATGTTAAAGTAACGAAAGGCTATGTGGAAGGGGTTAAAGGTTATAACAAATAAAGTTGGGAAGTGTTGGGAATAATGAGAAGAGTCGTGGTCTTGTGTGGGCTCTTCTCGCGCTCAATTCATTATAAAAGGGTGGAATTTCCCCCTTCCAAGAGGAAGTATCGTCCAAAAAGTTTAGTACAAGAGTCCAGTATAATTAAGAACCGCCCCGAATAATATAATAATATAATTGTATTGCCCCTACAAAATATTAATAAAGTTTATAAAGCCCTTTTTGACTTGTAAAATAAACCAACGCTCTTTTAAAATCTTGATACTCATCTTGTAACGCTCCTCTTCGATCGCCTCGACCAGTGTCAAATCGAAAAACCGCCTCTATTATCCTTGAGGAACGTTACGCGACATAATCGTTTTTCTAGCGACAATTCGTCGCATTTGCCCCCATATCTGAACCCATCCATAAAACCTGTCACAATGTTATAATAACGATAAGGCTGTTTGAATTACGTCCTCCTCGAAATTAAGCAAGCCAATCAGAACGTTCATTACGTAATAAATCACTTATGCATGAACAAACCAATAATAATAGTGATAGGCTACGTAATATTGACAGAAGTAGATGACGTATTTATCATTTGCCTAAAAGTTGATTTATTTCGTTAAATGGTGATCTCCGATTTTAAAATTTTGAAATACAAATAAGATTTTTTCAAACTCATTTAATTTCAAAATACGCCGCTTATTTGTTAACGTTGGAACCCTATTAAACGAAATAAGTGCTGCAAAGTGAAAACCTGTAATTTCGGTTTTTGCCGGCTCCGCTTTTCAGAAACAATGATCAGATTCCTGATAGATTATAATAAATTATATAATAAATTCTATTTATAGCTGTTCTCATAAATTCTGGAACAATTGATAAAAATTGATTGATAGAATTCGATAAGTTTTTGAATTCGGTGTTATTGGATTACTGTAATGCAAAATACCAGCGTTACCAACAATCGAGGGTGAACTTCGACTTCGGAAATTGGTTTCGAAAATTTTTTCAATGTTATTTTTCATGCTTTTACTAATCCGTTATTATTATTATTATTTTGTGTACCACCATGTTGTTACGAAACAACTATCGAGTCGTTATTTCGACACAATTTCCAGAGCTAAGAGTATTAGTCAAAATTAATTCTTAGCTCTCTGGAAATTGTGCTTCAAAATAACAGACACGTAATTTCACATTAATATAGTAAAGGAAAGCTTTCATAATTGTCATTTAAGAAACAAAACCATATTATTAGTCCAGAATAAATCGTTAAATATAATCTAAACATAGACTTAGTTACTGAATAATAATCGCGAACAGATTTAAAATGAATTGTTAAATTTAAATTATATTGCACAAATGACATCAAATTATGAATATACAAAATCCTCGAACTTAATCAATATATAAATTAAAATTCGCATTTGTTATATTCAGGATTCATTATAAAAAAGTTAATTACAACAAGCTTTGGCTATAATTGGATTTATAAAACTAAATTAGCACCAATAAATAATTTGATAGAAGCTATAAAAGACTTTAGAGTTCTAAAACAAACTCAACTAATACAAACTTAAAATTTCATGTTCGTCATGTCTAGGGACCATTATAAAGCAGTAAGCTTCGATTTTAATTGAATTTATAGACAAATATGCATTCATGTACTTAATTAACAATTCGATAGAAGCTATAAAAGACCGTAGAGTTTTAAAATATATTCACGATTTAAATCACGAAAAGAACAAGTCTTTCAAAATACAGCCCACTTTTGTTATAGTGAGCTCTTGATATAATCGACGAGTTTTGAAAGCATATTTAGTATTCTCTCAATATAAGTTATGAAGAGGTTTTTTTCCAAGCCTGAGGACTTCACTATAATGTGAGTTGTAGTCGTTTTGTTTATCATGATTTCTTGTATTTCTACATGAGACCACCTTATTTGTGATGAAATATGAGTTAAAAATGAAAAAAATAGGATACAGTTTTCTATTATGAACTGTCAGTTCTTATAGTAAAGTTCTTATAAAAATAATTTATTATGTTTCTATACCAACTCTATAAACTGTTAAACCATGTTTTCTTATTGAGTAGACTCGTTACAAGAAGTTTCGATATAAAGATAGTTGACTGTTTACATTGCATAGATAAATAAGATCGGAAGGTCGGGTCATCATGTGACTACACCCTCGATTGTTGGTAACGCTACTACGGGTAGTGTTGTCAATGGACAACTTTGGACATGAGTTTGGACATTTTTGGACAAAAATATAAATTAAAATTACTCCCAATTTTGTTAAGATAATCTATATACATTTCTAAGTAAAAAATATTCAAAACCTGAAAAAATATGTAATCATATATTTTTTAGACAAATTTATTAATTATTAGAGCTTGGACATGCTTTGAACACTTTTGGACACTTGGACATTTGGACGTTGGACATGGTCAAAAAAGCCTTGGACAGTGAAAAATGTACAACACTGACTACGGGTACCCTTATGTAAAGAAAATCCCGGCCTGAAGATCACTCCGACCATATGCAAAAAACAAGAAATTGTAAATAACACAAAAATTTACTATTATGACTAACTTCCGACCTCTAAGTAAAAGTTTTCAGAATGAAATTTTACTTATAAGACATGATTGTTAATGTTAGCTATATAGAGAATTTTTGATATACTACGACCCATAGCTTTTTGGCCGGCAGCTCGGGATTTTCTTGACATAAGAAAATTCCCCAGAATTTGAGAACAGCTGTAATGAATCATGTGTCAGATTAGTCGTTTCTTTCGGCATTCAAATTATAATTTCAAACGGCCTAAGTAAAGTTTTTAAACTCTAAAGCCAATCAAGTATTCTTAATAATTTCTGATATTATAAAGTCATTATTATTTTTATTTCATTTTATGGGCTTGGTGGCGAAAAAAGTGATGAATTGACAAAAAAAATGTTTTGATTTTCGTATTATAAATTCTATAATAAGTTAC